ATATATGGGTATTTTAAGATTTCTAATCGATTGTTTCATGTTTGTTGAACAGTTCTTCAACATTTCTAATGATTTATATTAGTCAATTTATAGATGGCGTCAATTTATAGAATGCGTTTATTGAGCTAATGTACAGACTTTATTAACTAATAAAAAAATGCGTTGATATAATGAATGTATTTTATCACTTCTACAAAATTTTATAATAGACATCTAATAAATGAATTTATTAAGTATATGAACATATTTGTTGGAAGAATGAACTTTTTCATTGATTTAATTAAATGTTATATTAAGTTATGATATATTCAAGTATTTGTTATATTAATAAATCCAGTTATTAGCTAATAAAAAATACTCAATAAAATATTCATAATATCTATTAAAAGTTCATTATATCAATGAATTTAAAATCAGTAAATGTCATTCATTGATATTATGAATAACATTTTTTTCAGTGCATATATATTTAAATTTATTCTGTGTATTTATTTTAATAAAATATTAAATATGAAACTATAGTAAAAATATGAAAACAAGTGACTTCTTGTGTAACACATACAATAAGTTACAAAAAATATAAATGAAGTTTTTTGTACGAGGGCTTGTTTTTGAGAAAATTATTTTTAAAGATTGAAAAATTAATAATAAATTAATATTTGAAAGTACATGGCTGTTCCTCGAATGTTATAATACTTACTCATATCTCGACATCCTTTGAGCTCGATGCGAAGACAAACTGTACGTCGATGTTCCGAGTGCGGTAAGATCCGAATTTGACTGGCGAAAATAGGTGGAATCAAATTATGCGACACAATGGTGGAGGTGTCGCTGTTGCCGGCTAAAACCTGCGGATCAATGTCATGAATATTAATAAAACAGCAAACACGAAGAAACAAAAGTAGACAGACAGTGACTTTTCGCTCGTCAATTAATGTGAAACTCGATATTGTCATTTAACTAACATTGTCATTTAAAATAAGAAAGTTCCTTTTTCAACGTTGACAAGAAAAATGAATTTTCTTTTTGAATGATTGTGAATTCTATGGTATACCTTTTAACGCGAGAACTATACAACATTATAATACGATTTAACGGTAATGGACATTTCGTCTGGAAATTTTCCAGTACTTATAGACATCTCAATTTTGGATCAGTTGATATTATACGAGTGAATGTATGCGTTTTAATGTGCTGCACCATTAATTTTCCTGGATGGAAATATCTGAATATCCGTCTGCTATCGATGACAGTCGCGCTATCTCCGCAATAATACATTGCGTTTAATACGAACTTTTCGGCAAAATTCCATTTCGATAAATTTCCGTTGAATTGACATTAATGTAACGAAGCGTTCGTGAGTTTCGCGAAAGTCAATTATCTACAAAACTTATTGTGGTACCACGCTTCAGTTCATTTCATCTTAATTTAGTCCCGTTATTTATGGTGTCATATGAATATATGATTGAGTGATAAGGTATGATTCGGCACAAATATAATACAACGACTATATCATTAAATTAGTCGCCGCTTCATTTTACATTTTACGATCAGCTGCATTGATATCGCAGTGAATTATTAATAAGAGAGGATTTAACATTTTATATAATGAAGTAAATGTTGCGTTATATAAAGCATGCATGTATCAAAATATGAGAGAATACAAAAGTTATTCACGTTTGTCATGAAGTTACACATGTAATTATTATTCATCTCCTCATTTGTTATAATATCATCTAATAATAAAAATTACTACGGGGAGATGATCGAAAATGTACTAGAAGTTACACTGATCGTGACATAAACAGAGATTATGATAAAAATTATTCTATGGTAGAGATGTGCGCAACATCTAAGACAACGTGAGTCAATCTTGAACAATATTCGAGAAAAGGAGGGGTCCAATAGGATGGGAAAAGAGAAAATTCGAAAACATTTAATTCTCGAAAAGGAGAAGTTGCACTTTTGGCAACGCTTAACCATATGTTACAGTACGAAGACATTACGTGCAATTCTAGCACAAGAATAGATCACTTATCGATTACCGTTTCTCTGTTTCACGACTGAATCCTGCAGACGGTATAAAGGACTGCGCAAAATCGAACTTGAAACTGAGAATATTATTTGATTAACCGTGAAACAAAAGGATTTTGATATTACAATGGGAAGATATGTTTCATTTAAACTCGATATACTATTTGAGAAATAGTTGGTAAATATTATTAGTTTCCTGTAATACATACTATATATACACGCATATATATATGTTATATAATATATAAAAGAGAATATCGAATTATATTTCCTATGCGTTTCAAACAGTAGTTAAATTACATATTAATTAAATTATTAATTAAATTACAATTTTATGAGCATAATGATAATCTAATTTTAATATATATATATATATGTGTGTATTTATATAATCTAATTTTGATATATTTATATAAATCTTGAAAAAATTGAATATTCGCTTTCTCAAATTTCTCTTAAAATTTATACATATATTCTAATATTTATACACAATTATTGACGTCTGTTTAGCTGGCCCTCCCACTTAACCAAATCTTAATGAATAAATTATATAATAATGCGCTATCTATGTGCTCTCAAAATTCGATGAAATTTTCTTACTGATAATTGACACGGAAAAAGTTTCATCAATTAAGCATCGTTAAGCGAGTGCCAAGTTCTAACTGTGACCTTACTAACAAGCAACTTCGAGCCCTGCGTTTCAATGGAATAAAATTCCAATTTGACACCAGACGCGTGGGTGATTCCGATCGGTTTTGTAGTTTTGTTCTATGTATCGTTTACGTTTACATTTGTTTGAGTCTGTTCCAATTGAGACATGGTGTAAACTCTCGATAGCTTGCGTATAACACTTCTACAATCGAACGTTTGTTGTAATCAAACTCCGTAATTGCTCTCTTCTATGCAATACACTATTCAAACCGTAGTTTTTGTGTGTACTAATTAATATAAAAATACGTTAACCATATTATACGTATAACCATTATTTATATCGTAAAATGCATTAAAAAGTTACTACAAAATTTATTATAAAAAAAATTTTAATAAAAATTATTAATTTCTTTTTTATATAAGGACTTTTTTTTATATTAATTAATATTTATACCAACTTATGGAATGGTGTATTGCATCGAGTCTTTTAAATACAAACTAACTGAAAAGTGAATAAATTAACCAAAAAATGATGCATTGAACTCGACAAATTGTGCTCTCCTTTCATCAACAGACGTGCCTATTCTGTCTTACCTCGTTGTTGTCCCAACGCTTATATCGGCGCCATCGAGTGAAACCAGGACGTCGATATTCTACAGTGTAATCCTCGACGTATTCCTGACCGCGGCCGTGATCGTAACGGCCCTGTGTCTGCACACCAGTAACGACATGAGTACTCTGTAGGTCAACTTGAAGCCACTCACGAACCCCTTTCTCTATTTGACTTTTCGGACACCAAGCACCGCCAGCAGTCTCCTTCCTGAGTCTATTTGAAATATGATTATGCTAGAGATAATCTCTTCATATAGTTTATGATTATGAGATAATTTCAGGAATGTGATCTTTTTTCTCTCTCTCTTTCTCTCTCTCTCTCTTTCTGTATCTCCTAAAGACTTTAGAAAAAAATTATATCTTCTAACATACAAGGACTATTCTTTTTTTATTACAATAAACTCAAGCTTGTTAGTCTTCCGCTTGAAGTTAATACGCTTCGTTATCGACTGTTATATTAATAGACAAATACAAGTAATATAATTTCTACTCAAATTTAACATAATCTAAATGAAGAAAGATAGTAAATTATTCGCAAGGAGAGATATTTGTAAGATGACAATTTCGTAAAGTGTGGCGCATAATTTACGACCACTAAAAACGGGCGAAATTACTGAATCGTATTACTATGCTTTACAAACGAAGAACTCTGCATAAGAGGGTCGTTAGACTTTTAATTTCAAAAATGCCACCGAATTATCGTTTTACTGTCTTCCCGGGCATAAAAAAGTCTGCCAATTATATTGTACAATTCAGTTACTATCCTTTCAACTAAGAAGAACAATTCACGAGACCATTTCTAGGTTTTAAGAACTTTCACCTTTTTAAAAGTGTACTTAAACAGTGAATCCGTGATTTACTTGCGCTTCTACTTCTTCGAGCCGTTCCGCTCACGTTTTCTCTTTCTCCGTCGATTATTTACGTTTGTGTTAAATGGCGTTAATGAAAGTCTTACTACCTCAATCACTTCTGGTCGAGTGGCATCTCGTACTTAATAACAAAGTTAACTTCACCGTAGATCGAGAAGATTCTCGCTTTTTCCAACCACCTTTCGCTGACGATTGATTTCCGGACGGCGTTCGTGCCGCGTTAATTCATTTACCATTTACAGTTTTTACGTAACTTTAATATGAAAGGATTTCATTGTTAAAGGAAGAAATTTCATGTAACATAGTCGGTAGAAACTTTATGTTATTAAGTAAATTGCGTTCTTATGGAAACTTTGTACGCGTGAGAAGTGTCAGCTAAATACGAACAAAGCTCTCTATTAATATTATTACAGAGTCGCAAACGTTGAGAACGCTTTCTCGTGCTATTATGTGTAATATTGAGCTATTTTTTGTCTTGTTAAAGATTATATTCAAAGATTTAGTGTTGAAACTTTAACTAAACGATGAATATACATTGAATCTATAGTACAACTAGATAATTGAATTTATAGTATAATCTTATTATACAGGATCTCTCCATCTATTCATGAACAATATATAGAGACAACATAATAACTGCCTTTGTATATGTTATTGTATATACGAGCTATTCTCAGACTGACGATTTGATGTATTTAAATCTTCAGACGGGTACTCATTTATCAGGCGCGTCTGGCGGCTGATCAATGATCACCTTTACTGTTTTAATTATCAGCTGCTGGACGTAATAATCTGCCAGAAGAATCCATCTCTCAATTTACATACTGTATATATTTACATACTGTACATGTTTCGTTTAATTATGATGACAATGCATTCAACTTGTGCATTTTGTGATAAATTTTTATTCTGTTTTAACGAAAAAACCAATCGACTGTGAAATGGTGCCAAATATTTATTATATGTAGCAAATAAAAAGTTTTAATTTTTTCCACTTCCCCAGTTGACCCGTTTTCATATCGACTGAACGAGCCGATTAAATAAATAAAATAACAATGATTGATATACAATGTATTATACATTTTTTATGCGAGTGTTATATTATTTTTTAATTGTGGTGCAATAAGTGAATTATTATTATTGCAATTTTCCTAAATAAATGTATTTAGAAAGTATCATTCTTTAATAACTTTGTAGAGTTTGTAGAAATGTATCTTTTATAAAACGCAATTACTATTTCTCCGTAATCGGATTGCGCGTTTGACAGTCACAAGCGTATTAGGCGTGTAACTTCAAGGAAATTAGGTTTGAATAAGTTAAAACCCCAGTGGGCATTAAATCAATATCGCTACTGCTCGGAAAAAGCAAACTTTCGCGATAGATAGGTAGATGAATGGGATCGTTGAGTTATAAACAGAACGCGCGCGACAGGTGTGTAAAATATAGGATTAGACGCGAGGAGGGATGAGAAATGACGCATGGCATATCCGTGGATGATAGTGCGTTAAATTCGTGGTCTGATAAACGATTGGATCTACCCTTTTCAAAGTACATTAAAAAAAAGTAGAGAGAGAGGGGAAAAGCTGAAAGCGGTGGGTCGTAAAAGTAATGTGCTTACCGGCCATTTCGCGGCCCGACGTTCGTCACATACGACGAGGACGCAGTAATTGCTGAATCCGGTATGTCACCTGATTCCATCCCCAAGGACTGGTTGCATGATCCTGAAACATGATAACGCTTTAATGTAATAGATAAAATGGTTTCATAGATATAATCTTCATTATTAAATTCAGCAGTGAGATTTGATTATATGTTCCACATTTCTTTCAATTAATTAATTAATCATCTATATAGAAATTTACATCTAGAATTTTTAAAACTAAATTGACAATTGTTATTCGCACTAACATTAAATATTCATTAGAACAATTTTATGACTAAGTTATTTGAAATGTAAATAACGTTCGTTTCTAGATACATAGACCTTTCGAAGCTTTTCCTGATGCTCTATAAAGACGACGAGGAAAGTCGTCTGACGCAATACCTTTTAAAGACAATGGTAAAAGAAACAATAGTGCGTGATATCGCGCACTATTGTGCCAGCAGGCAAAACTCTTTAAAGTTGGAGTGTATCTGCAGGAATCACGAACGTAAACAGCAATTACGACGTCGTCGTCGCAATCGTTGTTCGCGAAGTTGGGATAAGTGGCAAATGGCTTGAAGCCTCGAGGCGCATCGCCGCCGGGATATTATCCAATCACTATACTTATTAGTCTTTCAGCGATCTCATTCACGTTTCAATTCGCGTTACGTTTACTGTCATTCGGTTGTAATCTTTCCATTAAAGTTTTCGTTAGACAACAAAAAGCTGCGGCGCGCGAACGAAGCTCCGTTCGTCGTTGGAAAACTTCATACTGCCGCGCGAGGATCAATCGCCCTGAATAAATTTGTTCTACGAGATCGAGCGGCGATCCATCTATCTCGCGATTTTATTTGCAATTAAGAAAAGATCAATCCTATATATATATATATATATATATATATACAATGGCGACATTTGTTTCATCGTACAGATTAAATTCATCTGGTTTTTTACATCCTTTTTCGTGAAATCTCACAGATCGAGAAGCGAGAAGATTACACCGTTCTCGTTTATATCATATGTATATCACTATACATTTATATTTGTTATGTTATTATTATTTATGTTTCCAATACAAACGAATGTGTTAGGAAGCATTATAGTTGTGCGATTTATTTGCGGATTTGCGGATACACAGTAGCATTTACGAGGAATAACGATTAGTTTAAGGGAAGCGGAGAAATGCGCAGAAACGTATCTTCCGGCTCTCAAATCAGCGAACAGGAAGAATCGTTCGCGTACGAGCCTGTTCTTATTGGTCTCAAGCAGCATACAATCGAACGTGAGTGCGCGTATGGTCGATTAAATCTTTTCACATACCTGTCAGCTCGGCGGTTTATGTTGGTTCGGCAACCCTCTTGGAGAAACCCCGAGAAGTAAACGATCGGCTAAACTGTCCGGGAGAGCGGAAAGGAATTTCTTCTCACGAAGGTAAAATCAGGAATTCAGGCAATAAACATTGTGATTGTCGTTATTGCCGTGACTCGCTCAAAAGCAGTTTTACAAGAGGGTGCTTCTATCAAAATCTACTAGATATCGTTACAACGAAATCCACTAAAAACTTCATAGATCTTTCAACAGTGTAAGTCGAAAATTCGCGGGAGAGAGCTTTGCGGTGTTAGGAAAGCGCGAACATCGCCGGGAATGACAAAGGATCGCTATGAGAAACGTTTTCACGAGGATTTAACCGACTAGTTTGTGAAACCAGACGACGCTATTTACAGCGGAAGTATTTTAATAACGTCAGTTATAGTGTAGTTATCTTTATTCTCATCTGTTACAATAACTCTTCTTTCGCCATAACTTCAATTATTTTTTTACGTGTTCTGTGAAAAGTGATAAAATAATACTCAATAAGATGAATAAATTGCTTCGAACAACATTTCTATAAGGTAAATGTATCAGTTATTGGACAGTTAAGGGACATGATCTAATTAATAGACGAAATGACAAAAATTTTAAATATCAAGCTTTTAACTATTAAATAAAGTCGTGATCTATAAAAATTTTATAACAAATTTATTTGAAGTAATACATGTCTTAAAAGCATATCTAAAATTTTTATGATCATCTCGCCCAATAATTAGGTCATATTAACTGATATATTTATCTTACATGTGTAAAAATGTTTATCGATTTATCATCATCATAGTTACAGCACTAAGGGAAATATATTACGCATATGCAATGCGAAATTACGTTAAAAAAATTATATTAAAAAATAATAAGTCAAAATTAACTGATATATGAGTAACATAATTAAACGAAGAAGAGAGCCATATTCTGTTAAAATGGATTTTGGTGGCATGGAAAAAACGGTTTTGCTGTAGTAACTAAAAATTTAGGTAGATACAGATCTAAAAATAATTTTATTGGACCATGAAAATAATTATATAGGACGCTAGCTCATATTGGTTCGTTAGAATGACAAAACTTTTTGCAGCATTAGGTAGGTACTCATGCTTGAGTTTTCTACATAATTATTTTGATGGCCCAATAAAATTATTTTTAGATCTGTAATTTTTAGATCTGTTATTTTTAGACATTTCAGCGCGTGCGCATACACACATACATAAAATTGTTCTCTTCGTGTAATAATATTTTTCAATGAGTTTTTACAATTTCCAATTTGTGTAAACTGCGTTGATTATTTATCGGTATTGAAACACAGTTTGACTGTTGGAATAAACTGGAAATTGTAAAAATTTACATAAATATTATTAAGCACCAAGATCCACTTTGACCATGTGAATATGGCTTGCTTCATTGCTTAAAACATTAATTTGGCTATGTTCGGCGCTCACAGCATTATTTCAAGCATCATTTCATCCTTGTTTTTAAATATTAAATACACTGAGAAAAATTTCCGGGCTTTATCCGTTTATAAAGTAACAAACAGATATTTCCGATTGATTTTGATCGGATTTATAAGACTATCCGATCAATTTTAGGACTATCCGATCAAATTTATCGGATTTATAGGACTATTCGATAAATTTGATTGGATAGTCTTATAAATCCTATCAAAATCAATCGGAAATATCTGTTTGTTGCTTTTTGAACGGACATTTTTCTCAGTGTAGGGATAAATGATGCTTACAACTGTTGATATGAGCACCAAAGCGAACGCAGCCTAAATTAAACTAAAAGAGAATTGAGATTGAGGAAAAGAGTGTACAATTTATGTAATAACTTCTTATCTAAAATATAACTTTACACTAAGTTTCTACGTGCTCGGATTGTTACGCTATAGTAGTAACAAGGGACATTTTGTAACCACTCCACGGATACTGGTAGACATCCGGTACACCTACGAGACGCATGGAAATCGCATGGGCATTTGGACTTGGTAACGTATTCATAGAATTCTCGCGCTCCATCTTTCCCTCCAGTTTGTGCAAATATTCTTCCGCTTCGCGCTTTGTTCCAATCCACAAATAGAGCAGATAAGAGAAAAGAAACACATGTCAAACGTTCGATCGAAAACAGTGGAAGCTGACGCACCAGTCACAAACGACGTGAAATAACGCAAACCCCGAGAGAAGCGGTACGCTGCTACCATTTGTCGTTTATATCGTTTTCGCGCAAGTTGCGGAACAGAATAAGCATCGAAAAGATGATAACTTTTGTAAGTAAAAAAAAATTAGTAGTGAATACGTATAGAAAATGACATGAGAGTCACAAAACGATGGATTACAATGAGTATATAAAAAGATAGAGTTATACTGAATATTAAAATGCGACTCGATTTGTTGTACCTGAAATATTTAGAATGTCGAGACCCCCCTCCCCCACCAAACCCCTGTAAAATACAATAGATCGATACTGCAGATACTTGAAAGTCCGGTAAACTCGTTCGTTAAACCACCTACATATTTCAAGTATAATCTTCCGGAATCACTCTTTGTTTTCTATAATTCAACCTCATACTTGTCGGAATGTTCGAGCATCTCTCTCGGGTCAGTAAGTAACAACCTTCGCACCCATTGTCCGGGTAAGAGAATCCTGACGCGAGGTCGGTGGTATACGAGGCGTTTCGTGGATTCATTGCGACGCATTCCACGTCGAACTATTCGTCTTGCCAGGTGGCGTGCAATTTGGCGAACCCGGGGACACGACAGTCGGAAATCCGGACACCTCGGCCACAGTCAGCGCCACGAAGACACCTTCAGGACTGGCGGATGCGAATCTTGGCGCTTCCATAGTCTCGCAACATTAGATTCGTACGATGTATTGAGGCAGTTTAAGCTGTTTTAATACTCAATCGCGTTCAAATATGCATTACTTTTATTTTGCGAATTTCTGTAAAATTTGCAGCATTTTCGAGCTATGGTATTTCTCGGTAAATACATTTATATCTTTGCTTCGATTATTTCCACGTCGGGCATAACAGTACTTAATCATTAATTCGTAGAAAAATAAAAACTCTTTTCATTTTTTATCGTCAGTTTGTACATTACGCGAAACAACCATTTTTAAGAATCAAGTCTCGAACAAGTCGGACGTTTTACGACGTGAACGCACTCATCAAGTTAATTCTGTACGCGTACACACGTTAACATTTTACACGAATATTGTAAAGCTCCCTGCGAGGTGTTCTCCGCGTCACCTGGTCCACTTTGTCCCCTGTTACTACCGAATGAAAATCCGGCTTGGAAACTTTCCTGTCGCGATGCTCTTTGCACAATCGGCTTTCTCCGTTCTTCGGGTACGTTTGTCCGCACGGATGAACAGGGTACGGTGATCGACGCGACGGGTCTCGTTTTTGCACGGCAACTCCTCCTGTTTGTTCTCGTTTGAAATAAGGATTCCGGATTGGAGGGTCGATGTTACCTGTTCGAACTCAACTCTATGCTAGGGTGAAATCTTTTTTTCCCTCCCATTCCCCGGTAGCTTCTCTTGTTTGTTTCTGTCTGGTTCTCGATTCGTTCGGACCGATGGGAGTACGTCAGGTGTTCCGCCTATAATCCTTCGACTAAGCACGAATGGAACTGTAGGGATAGTTGATCCTGTCCGATAGCATGCCCATGTTTCTCTGAACCGCTCTCTTGACCTGCCTCCAATTTTTACGAGTTATCG